AAAGAAGGGGACTCCAAAGAGGACGCAGAAGACGGCAGCGCAGGCCCGCCTCACAGTAGGCAGCGCCCGTTCCCTGATATTTTTTTTTTCGCAATACACAACATAGTATGCCCTCATATCTCACTTTGATTGCATTCAAAAATTCACCATGAGGTTGAAGACACAAGTCAGAGCACTCAGAGCACTCAGAGCGATCTGAGAGGCACTCAGAGCGATCTGAGAGGACCTCAGAGCGATCTGAGAGGCACTCAGAGCGATCTGAGAGGACCTCAGAGCGATCTGAGAGGCACTCAGAGCGCTCTGAAGACCTCTCAGATCGCTCTGAAGGCCTCTCCAGTTCTCCTGCTTCAACTTCCCTGTATGTAATAGCTCAGCGACCAGCTCAGCCTATCCTCACTTCCTCTCGTTGACTCTCACGTATCTCTCACAATGTAACAGTACACAGACTCAACTTTACTTATTCAATACAAATTCAATCGGAGAAGATTGGAGACCTGGAAATGAATTGTATTACCGATGCAAGTGCAAACTTCACAAGACCAGAAGATACAACCACAATACAACCCAATCCACAACATCAAACTTCAAAACCACTATACGGTACAATCCCTTTAAACTGGAGATGATTGATAAATTCATTTCTCAACTTCAAAATCGGTGAATCTGACTTTTATTCAATTTTTATTCAATGTCTCTTGTTGTATACCAGAGACGATTCAAAATATTGTGAAGGAAATTTGTAAGTCTCACGTTTACATGCTATTCATCTTATTCCATTCAAATATATTCGAGTGTTTGTACGTAGATATTAAATCAATCACGCATCTCGTGTCATTTCAAAAGGTTTTATAAAAGTAGTATAACCAGCACATAAGATCTACAATCTGTAGAACCAAAAAATGAAAATAACTTGCGCTTCTCACTTTCGAAAAGTTGTAATAAGAGAAAGCAACACATGAAACCCACGGTCTGTAGAACAAAAAAAGGAAAATGACTTGTCCTTCTCATCTTCAAAAATTTGTAATAAAGCAAAACCAGCACATACAATCTACAATATGTAGAACAAGAACAAAAAAACGGAAATAGTGCAAACCACCTTTTAGTTGTCATCAAGGTTTATCCCTGCATATAAAACTACGCTGAGCCTTGGGAGTCTTCATCGGAGTTGGAGTTGGAGTCGGAGTCGGAGTCTTCATCGGAGTCGGAGTCTTCATCTTTATTGAAGTCTTCGTCTTCATCAGAGTCTTCATCCTCATCATAGTCTTCAGCTTCATCAACCCTATGTTGATGTTTAGATCTTGAATTCCCTTTACCCTTAGCCAAATTTTTAAGGTCCCTTCTCATAGACCCAT